CTCAACCTAGTCAAGCTTAACTGTAATATATTAAATGTAACAATTAAATGATGAAACTCCTATTTTCAGTTCCACTCCAGTTACCAAAAATATTTTGATCAGAGTTTGTATTGAGACTTGTTCTTGTTTTAGAATGACACACTAACAGACATGTAATTTATCTGAAGTACTGAGTTACTGGAACTGTTTACATTTGTTTTGTTGAATAATTGTCTCTCTCTATATATATATACACCTATCTATAGTTAGTGTTGAATGTTTGTAAAAAGAAAAATTAATAATTAATTAATAATAATTATTAAACCATTTATTGTAGTAGTGACAAACTTTCATTATACCTAACCAACTAATCTTGGCTAATTACTTGATGCCTAGTTACCATTACATTTGTTTGATTGCAATTCGTTATGAAAACTTATTGAACAAGTAATAAGTAGTCTTGAAGACATTGTTATAATACATAAGACATGTATATATTAATATAACCTAAGGCCCCAATATAACTTTTGAAACAAGTAAATAGCTGTTGAATATATTTGTGTAAAACACACAGATGAATGTTTTGAATAATTTATTAAATGATAAAATAATATTAATTGTAATTAATTATAATCAACATTTCACTCATATTTTTTGTTTTCTATCTCCAGTGACTAAATCTTCATTAAATCATTTATCAAAGACTCGGACACCTGCTCCTCACAGCCGACGTTTGCCCCAAAAGTTTGCCAAGAAGGTGGCAGCATGTACTAAGAAGCCACTATTTGAAGACACAAGTGAAGCCTGCCTCCCAGAACCTATTCCTGTCATCCAAATACGACCTCAGGCTCAGTGCTCCAAGTATCTGAGCTCAATGACTGTTGAATCTAGCTATGTGACCATTCCAAGTGTAGCTGGGGATGAAGATGAGATCATGGTGTAGTCTTTCCCCTGGACTGAAAGATCATCTGCTTGTTGATGTTAGGACATAATCTCCTTTGATTTAGGAGATTATGGTTGAATCATTTCCTGCTATCAGTCTTATCTGCCACTGATGTTAACACAGACATTTCATACACATTTTCTGTGCATGTTGAGTTCTTATTATTATTCAGTTTTTTTAATGTATTGTTGTCATAACGACAAAATGTAGTTTGCTTAAAAATCGTCTACAAGTATCTTTTGTACCATACACTGACCTATATACTATGTAGAAAGGATACTTGTTTGTATGTTGCTGGTCATTCCCATGACATTGTGGTTTCATGATGGTAAAAAGAGGTGCATCTAGTGTGTTTTTGAGTCTAAGTTCTTGCTGCATGTATCTGCATACTAACTTTATCAGCTCCTTGATATTCTGTGTACACAGTCATTCCTGAGAATATCATTTCTAATAGTAAAAATCTTGTTCCGGCATTTTTTTGTTCATCTTTTGTTGCAGGCTTCTTAACGACATCAACATAACTTGTCTACTGTGATATCCTCAATCTCATGGCTACTTTCACATTTTCTAGTAGGATTGACCTAGATTAATGTATATGATGGTTCTGGTACTTTGTTCTGTGACTTTGTTCTGTTACTTTTATTTTGCTGTAGACCATAGGTTGAACATGGTTCACATTTGTTGTCACTTGTCATACTTAGAAATATTGTTGAGTCAATGTTCTAAACATGTCATCCTTCTAGTGTCCACTTATTTATAAACCAAACATGTCTCCTTTATTTATTGCAGTCATGAAAAATGTAGACATATTTATATTATATATATATATATATAGCCTACCTGTGTATCTATTTATAAATGCATGACTATTTTTGTGACTGTATATAGAGGTTATGTATATTTAAACAAAAATGTTTTTTTTTTTATAGTTCATTTCATTATATTTTCTGTTTCAACTTTCCAGATTGGTGCCTTTATAATTTTGATGAGTGATACTAGAATGCCTTTTTAAAAAAACATGTTTTCTGTGTGTTTTTATATTGATTTCATGTTATTTTTTCAAATGAAATATTTCAATATTTTTGTTGAAATGAAACATAATCTACTTAAAGATCTGTCAGTGCTTTGTTGAGGCTGGTTATATTGAGCAGAATTAAGTCCCATGCAGTACAGGGGTGGGGGAATCTTGTCACCCACATAGAGTATATCAAGATATAGTCACACTTAGAAGAACAAGAAGCAGTCAGTATACACTTGAACATGGTCCATTGTCACTTTGTCAATGAGTATGTTAGCATGCGCAGGCTAATGTGGTAAAACATTTATTCATCTTGTATTTATTCAATATAAATTTTATTTTTATAAGTAAATGATTTTAATTTTCAACAGTTGAAGAATTGAAAACATTTCTGAAAACTGAATGACTTTTTCTGTTTGCTTGGGCTTGACAAAAGTAAGTGTGGTCCATTTCTCCTGAGGCAGCCAGTCCAAGACAAAGTTTAATGAAGGCTGCATGTAGAATTGTATAAATGTTTGGGCAGCTAGTGGGGACGGTCTAGAGAAATGGTTGGCTCTTTCATGTTCTTCATTGAGATTGTTGTCCTATAATTCCCTTCTATCTGCTGTTTGGTTGTATGTTGACCAAAGGCTGTAGCTCTTGTCAATAGATATTTATTTGCGTTTACTTTTTTTTTGTTATGCCAGATGAGATTTTGTTTTGTTCTCTTGAGTTTGTTTTAGAAACCTTGATGTACACGTTTTGTTGAATCTTGAGATTACATAATTCTTTTGTCTTTTTTTGTAAGTAAATTTTTTATAATGCTTTAATGTCTATTTGTAGACTATATTACACTAGGTATCACACACATTCTTATATAGTAGTGTATAAACTGTAGGTGAGGTGGCTGAGCGGTAAAGCACTTGACTTCCAAACTGAGGGTCCCAGGTTCGAATCCTGGTGAAGACTGGAATTTTTCATTTCTGGATCTTTGGGCGCCTCTTAGTTCACCCAGCTCTAATGGGTACCTGACATTAGTTGGGGAAAGTAAAGGCAGTTGGTTGTTGTGCTGGCCACATGACACCCTCGTTAACTGTATGCCACATAAACAGATGACCTTTACATCATCTCTGCCCTATAGACCACAAGGTCTGAAAGGGGAACTTTACATTTTTAGTGTGTAGACTATAATACAGACACTAGATATCACACACATACTTATGTACTAGTGTGTAGACTATACTACAGACACTAGGTATAACACACATACTTATGTATTAGTGTGTAGACTATACTACAGACACTAGACATCACACACATACTTATGTAATAGTGTTGAATTTACACAAACATATATCATAGAGCATACATACACACAATATTACAGACATTGTACATATATATATTTAAAAATATTTAGACTCAAGATTTAATTTTAGAAATGTTATTACCCAGACATTTTAAGTTAAGATTAATTTACTTTCCTCAAGATTTAGAAGGGTAGATGACTTATTATACAGATAAATTAACAGCCAAGCTTGTAACAAAAAGATGATCACCAATTATGGGTATGCGCAATTCAATGAAGATATGCTCATCATTCAAACAAACAAAAAAATGTACCCTACTCCCCATAACAAGCTTAAAAAATATTTTTGCGTTCAAATGGTTAAGATCACAACAGTGAGATATTTCTATTTCATAAAGCAACAGTTTTGACATCCAAGATTTTTTTTATATGTTTATTCACAATTGTGAGAATCATTTTGTGAACCAATAAATTGCATTCTCTTTAGAATTATAGAATAATAATGTTTGCTCTTGAAAACGTTATCTAAACAGATTGTTGGCATCATTCAAAGATATTCAGACTAAATAGCTCTAAATTTTCTTAGTATTGTAAGAGAAGTCTGATTTATTTATGTATGAAACTTTAGATGTCAAGCATGTTGTCTAGTCTACCTGGCATAGCAACAAAATGTAGTACTTATTGTTAACATTATTTTTTTTCCATGAGCTCTTTAAAAATTATTTTATGTAAACAGTTATATTAGTCTTGTTTTAATCTTTTGGTTGATCGCAGCAATTATTCGGGCTATGGCATAGTGTAGGCCATAATCCTGTGTATCATTTTCAGCTTTTGGGTATTGGCTTTTGATCATTGCATTGGAATATCTGGGGGGCATTAGCAGGCAGACTGTTGATCCAACACATTTAGGACAAATCTAGTCACTGCCATTGTGTTTTATGTTTTATTTCGGTGATAAGTGGGAAGTTCTGCTGTCTGTGAACATGTTGCCATGGTTACTATTTGGGCTTCATTGAATGACTCTCTTTTTTTCTCCAATATTACTTGCATTACTTGCACCGATGTGATGAAGTTTTGATTTGAAGTTGGCTACTGGAATATCACTTCTTGACTTCTTACACAATAACTCTTCAAATAGCTCGCCATTGGAACTATTTATGAACAAAAACAAATGGAAGAATTTCATTATTTCATCTCTTTAGAATTATAGAAAAATTCAGAGCTTATAAATTTGTTTTAAGTTCCAGTTATATATATATATATATTATTATCCACAAACTTTCATTCATTAAATCTACTGTAAGAAGTACATTTTCCTTGCCTTGGAAGCAGTTGACTCGATCCTACCATTGCCTTTTATTTTCTTGAACAGAAGAGTTCATAATTTGAGTGGAAACTGTAGACCAGAAATATTTCTTGATTGAAGACACCAATCTAATTATGAAATACATTAGGAAAAAAAAGGAACATCTTTTATATTAGAATACGGTACAATTTTGATTGATTCAGGTCCTTGGTGATTGGTAAAGGCTTGCTCCTATTGGGTGCAGAGATACTTATGATGGGTGTATAGATGCATTGAGTAAGCATCTACATGTGTTGGACAAGTCTACGTGTATTGAATGCACAATTACGTGTGTTGGGCAAGTGTCTACATGTATTGAGTGCACAGTTACATGGATTAGATGTGTCTACGTGTATTGGGTGAGTGTCTGCATGTATTAAGTTCACAGCTGCATGTATTATGGTACAGGGCTACATATATATATATATATATATATATATATATATATATATACATGTTATATAGAAACAACATTGTTATGGTTAGCCATCACCTGAGCAACTTCTCTCTTTCATATGTCCATACAAAACTTGACATGTGATGGTTCACGCCCCTCCCCTCCAGCTATAATATGTACATAGATCATTGAAAACAAGCCCTACCTACTGATGTATATCCAATGTTTTCCTTACCTGATGGATAGTAACACCATATCTTTTGATGTCATTGTTATAGACTAGCCATTGTCTTTGTAATCACCATGTCATTCGTGCTTAGTGTTGGCTGTCGGATGAAACTGTTGACTGCAGGTTGACCTTTTTATTTTTGTGTTTAGCTAGATGACTTTGTTTAGCAATTCTCTGACTGTGTACTAGATGACTTTGTTTAGCAATTCTCTGACTTTGTACTAGATGACTTTGTTTAGCAATTCTCTGACTTTGTACTAGATGACTTTGTTTAGCAATTCTCTGACTGTGTACTAGATGTTTTTGTTTAGCAATTCTCTGACTGTGTACTGGCTTGTTCTATGGGAGTTGATATTATTCCATTCATTGTATCGCCATCATCACTTGTTGTGTTACTTGATGGAAATAAAAAATCATGCCATTGCTCGGGTTGACTCGTTCGTTTTTGTTTCGTGTTCATCATTGGTTGTTGTTTTCACATGTCCCACCTCCTAAACATTGACTTAGTCCATGGATCAAAGTAGATCACAAGAAAATAAACAAAACCGCTATTGGTAATAGCCATTAAGTACAGAGAAAACAAGAGTTAAGTCTCTTGAAATTGTTCCAATAAAATTAAGCCACGTTCACAGAATGCCAAAAAATTGACACCCACAAGATCTTTTGTAGGTTGAAGGCAGAAGAGATGCAGGTCTTCCACTTGCTAGACTGAGGCATGTGAGCGCGACATGAAACTCTTCCAAAGTGACACTAACAGTTGGGAGAAAGAAGAACTGGACATATCTACACGATGAACAAGTACAAAGGAAAGGTCAAGGACTCCTGGGTTGCAGATAGTGCACACACCAAAAGTAGGAAGAAAGCTTAAAAAGAAACCCTCTGCAGAGTCTGGTGATTAGAGATATCTAATCTGTGTATCAAGGATTGGCAAAATCTTATTTCGTCCAAGGGACAAACACCTTAGGCCTTGATCTACATGCATGCCACATGTCGCATTTTGGTAAACCTAAGTCAGACTCAATGAAACTGAACCTCGGGGGGATGTGAATGTTTTAGGGCTAGGATATGTCCCGAGCACAAAGGTCTGGCAACACTGCTTTAGGGAGACTTCGTTTTGCACAGTTTGGATGTTCCTTCAGAATTGAAGATATTAGACCAACCTCCTACAGGACGGCAAGAGATGGGCAGGGTTCGATTCTGATCGTGCTGATGAGTGCCACATACTTTGCAGTTATAAATAACTAAATGTTATCTTATACCGAGGCACTTATCAACGGGTTCAGTTTATTTCAAGACATACGATTCGCTTATTTTTACTTGAGCGACAACTTAAGCCTACCATTTTGTTTCTCTATTATACGCTCCCCACCTACACACCAGATGATAGTCTCAAATCTGGTCACAGACGTTATGACACTGTCAGGAAGGTGATACACTACAATCATCATCTTGAAGAAATGACGGAACCATCAAGAAAGACAAGGAGTTGAGTTGGATTGTCGGTGAGTTTTGATTGAATGGCCATTAGTTTGGATTGTATGTTTGTCTCCATGATTGAATGTCCATAAGTTTGGATTGTATATTTGTCTCCGTGATTGAATGTCCATAAGTTTGGATTGTATATTTGTCTCCGTGATTGAATGTTCATTGATTGATTAAATGCCTATTCTTAAAAAAAAAAAGCTTTTAGTCTCGAATGTTTAATAGGGTTTGTTGCTGAACATAAAAATTATATATGTGTCAGACGCGAATAGCCCAATTTTCAGTAAAAGAAATTACAAAAGTCATTTCTCTATAGAAGAAGTTACGAAGGCTATTTAAATACAACCACAGACCTAAATATACTACAATAAATATAGGCTTTTGATTGCTAGTTATGATTTATTTAGGTAGGTGCTGTTTTACTATTACATACCAAGTATTAGAGTTTAGAAAAACCCAGGTTTGTTTCTTGTGCAACGCTATTAGCTAACACCTCATATCATCTCTCCATTAGTATATTTAGATCTATAATCTAATTCTAGTCTAGATCTATATATAAAAATCGAATAGATTTAGTAATAGTATAGATTCTATATTGAGACTAGATTGCCGAGTCTAGCCTATGCTATGCCTATGGTCAGTTTTTATTAGAAAAAAGTCTAGATATTAATAAAGACTAAAGTTTTTTAATTATTAGATTATTAGATATAGACATAAGACAGATCTAATAATACTGTAATACGTTTACTATACTCTATACTTAATCTACTAAACTAGAGATCTATCTATAATCTAGTAAATCTAGATCTATACAATATTCATTATAATACTTCTACTTATAATGATTTATTTAATAAGTTAGTACTTAGACTTAGATCTATTATAGCTTATTAATAGATTTACTTTTCAATGCCTAGACCTAATAATAAAATTGCGAATGATGTCTATAATGACTGATTATTATTATTTTTTTTATAATAATAGGCCTACTAAATCTAGGTCTAGACTCTACTTAAATCTAGTCTAAAATAATGACTGTCTAAGACTCTAGATGATTGAGAAGTTCACATAGAGGTGTTGTTAATAATACGGCATGTCGGCTGAAAGTATATAAAGTGCTTTTTTTTGTTGTAAAAATAAAAAAGAGGCTCCGGTACTCAATGATAGATTGCCTAACTTTCAATTAATAATAAATTAACAATTAACGTTGAATTACAAGAAAAGTAATCATTTTCCCCGACATTGAAAAAAGGTGCCGGTACCCCGTACCGGTGCGTACCGTCACAAAAATATATGTATATCTCAATCTTCTTTCATTTAATTTTTTTTGCGGGGTTATTGCTACTTAATACATTGATACCGGATCGATTTAAATAGGGCCTAAGTATACAAGCAGGATTTAGAGCATTGGATTTTTTTTTCTTAGTACAAAGTTTTATGGAAGAGGCAATATATTAGTTGTTTGAAGTTTGTAACTTCTTTAATTCAGGCTAAAAATATCGAAGCCTACATTTTTACACTAATTTCTAAACAATTAGAAGAGATGGACTGACTCATAGTGTAGCTTGTGTACATCTGCAAAACACAAACTCAGACTCTCAAAACTATTAAAAGAAAAACTTAGTGATTATTTTTACTGTATAATTCTATTATTATTCCTTTTTAGAATTAGGATATAAACAAAAATTTGCCATATGACTTTATCTAACAGAAAAAAATTTAACTTACGTCTATTTATGGGGTTATTTATAGTTACCTAGTAATATAAAATATATTGAACTAACACGTACATTCATCATAATGCAGCCATTAGATTTTTCGTTTATAAACATAGCATTATTTAGGACCAATATTTTACAAAGGCTGCTTGGAGAAATCAGGTATACCCATTAGGAGAAAAACGACCCCTTTACTCAAGAAAAATTTAAGAAACTAGAACAGACACAAAATAAACAGTGACATTCATAACAAAATAATATTCAAAATTGATTAGAGTAACACCTTTTTAAGTAATCATTTAAAGTTTAAAATCACTAATTTTTTTTTCAACAATTATTTTATGTATGAAATTGTGTATCGGAAAATGCCGGGTACATGAAATAAGCTAGTCCTAAAAAAGCAACACAGATCTTGGGTAAAATACTCATCAAATAAATTACTGTAAATGTGTAGTTTCACGCACTAGTTTCAGGTCTTTTCTTTTTATAGCCTCTATCGGGTTATATCCCAACTACCCATGTTTTTGTGCAGAATTTTTTTCTCTATCAGGTACACTTAAAATTATAGCATAATAATGTTAGTTAAATTTAAAAAGAGAACTGAAAAATACAAAGATATATAGGCGAAAAAAGCGACTTCCGGCCCAATACTTTTTAATCAAAGAAACAAAACGGACTAGTCCAACAAACCCTATTAAAATTTAAAATAAAATTCCTTAATGAAACAAATAATGTATGACACGTTTTTTTTTTTTTTACACTGAATTCAATAAAAGTAATCTAGATTCTGGAAGAAGAATTCCTATCAGTAAAAACAAAATGATAACATTTATGAAATTGTTTCATATACAGGTGACAGTCAAACTGAACACAAATCTTAATACAATAAAACAGTGATGCCCAACATAAATCGACCTGCGGGCCATTTTAATTTCCGACACTGGTGTCGCGGGCCACATAAAGGAAAGATACAGAAATGAAATGAAATTGACCTGAAACTATTTCATTAGAAACCCGTGGATCTAGCCCTTACATTCATTAACCCATAAGATGCGTGTGGTAGTTTAGCCTCTAAACATCAGAATTGTTATTCCATTTTGTTTGCACTCATTTTCCTTTTTCATGCGTCAGAAAACGGCGTCATTTCTCTACTAAAACTTTGAGCAACAGTGTAGCTAGCTTTACCAACGACTCATATTCTTGTCTCTTTTTGTTAAATATTAACATTACTCTTCCAATCTGTAGACGTAGTTTTAAAATTTAACAATCTTTTGATTCAAATGACGTCAAATTTGTTTTATAATTGCGTTTCTTTAAAAAAAAACAAAAACAGCCACACTTTATTGACAACTCAAATATATTGGCTTATGATCATGTTCTGCCAAAAATAGGAAAGTTTTTTTTAGCTTATGATTTTTTTTTAATATAAATTCTACTTTAAGAGTCTCATAAACGTACAAATGTTGGTCATGGTGCCAATCAATCGGAGTAAAATTGATGGCCCAAACATAGGTAAAGAGACATTTTTAAACCTTTTCTTTAGGGGGGGGGGGGGTAGCGGATTTTATATACTTTGTGCCGACATTTCGGGGGGGCCGGATGGAACCACGTCGCGGGCCGGATCTGGCCCGCGGGCCGTATTTCGGGCATCACTGCAATAAAACATTATGTCATTACCATAACGTCATCAAGATGTCTGTAGAAACCAGTAGACTTATGTTAGACTTACAGGATAATAAAGTTTACGATCAATGCATCATTCCTTAAGATGTCAGTCACGATTTAAAAAAAAAAAAGGTATGTTTGGGAATAGGGGAGGTTGTGGCTAAAACCTGCATCTTTTGTTTACACGTTTCAAACTACGCAGTCACATCTTCGTCTTATCTGGTGAGTTGAAAGGGAACTTGTTTATTTGTGTGTCCTGGGTCCTAGCGGCTGGAGCGCTTACAATAATAGCAATTTATTTAGGTCGTACTTAACACTGAAACTAAGAAACTATTGCTCTCTATAGGTTAGGACAAGGAAAATGTTAGAATTGGGTTGC